CTTACAGGAAATTTAGTCTTTATCACAAAGTTTAAAAGCTTGTATAGCTTATTTAGCTTTTTTGTGATTGTACAGATGCTTTAAAAGCAGCAAAAATATAATAAAATTTAAAAAAATCGCATAAGTTATATGCATATAAGTAGGTACCTACATAAATATGCATATGCATGCATAAGCCAAACAGGCATTTAAACATCATTGTAAGGACTAAATATAAAGTTTCATGTTTCTATCTTGAAGTCAACACATTCTTAGAATAGAAAATTAAACAATACCTAGGTAATCCTTTTTTAAATTTTAATATGTTTGCTCCTTTTAAAACCCATGTAAAAGCAAAATGGATGAAAATATCAAAACAATTTAAATAGGCATTTAAACTTCAAGGTAAGGTCTAAATATCCTGTTAATTTTATATTTCTATATTGAAGTCAACAACTTATAAAATGGATGAAATAATGCGACTTTTTAATATGTCAAGCTACTGTATTCAACATCCTCATATAATGGCATAAATAATGCGATTTTCTAGAATTTAAAATTTAAAGCAATTTTTTTTTGGAAACCGTATTCCAATTGTAAGTTTTATTTTGACTTCGGTATGTAAACTTTATAAATAAAAAAAAAATTTGCTGTTTATATTAAACAGATGAGACGTGGGACGCATTTAAAAAACACGAAAAAATAGTAAAATACACGTTTTTTTCGGCACCGTGTAATTATTTAGAATATACTAATTGAGAGAATTTATATTTTTTTATAAAAAACTACTGTTTTTTACCTTTAAAATGACATCTTAAAACTTAAAATATCTTTAATAGAAAAAAAAATTACAGCTTAAATTAGTAAAGCATAAAAATGGCGTTTTTAAAAAGTTTTAATTTGAATAGGACGGATTTGACACATGCTCAAAATTAAATAAGGGTGAATTTTGTTCTTTGGGTCCCTAATACCTATCTTTAAAAACAAAGGGGACCCGATCTCAATTGATAATTATAGACCGATCTCTTTAGTTGGTGTTATTTCTAAAGTTATTGAAAAAACGATATATAATCAAATATAGTCCTGGAGCATAAAGCAATAAAATATTCTCCGTGCGATTTGTTATGAAGGGATGATGGAACTATATGGGATAGCTTTTTTTATACCTTTTTGGGTTGTGTGGTACCGGGTGTTTACCTTGAAAATATGTCTGGTGGTGTTTATGGCATTTCTAATACAAAATGTCCACCATTTTCGACATTCATTTATAAAATGCCAAATAATTAATTTTATTGTGCCCTTTGAAATAAATTACATTTAACATTTTTTTATTGTCATATGACTGTGTATCGAAACAATTGTATAATTTTATGGGCCGTCAAATTTGATGGCCCATCAATTTTTTTATCTACTCCTACATTGACGAGCTGTAACTTTATGGCGTTTTATTGACGGGCTGAAGTTAACAACAGTGGCTTTTCGACATTTTACGTCACGGGCTGAAGTTAGCTTTATTATAAATTGGGAAAAGTGAGGTTAAATTCGGGTGGCAGTTGAAAGATGTCAAAATTTTAACAAATAAAATTGGCTTTAAATTCTGTTTTGTAGTCTTAGATAAAGTATAGTATGCAACTCGTTTATAAACTTCTCTAGACACTCGCAAGCTTCGCTCGTGCTTAATTAAACTCGTAACTAAAATGGCGTTTATAAATATTAGCCTCTACCAACAGTGACTTTTTTGAAATAAAACTGTTTTAGCACTATTTAAGTAGTTTCATTAGTTGCTTATAAATTAAATGTGCCTTGACTTTATCAATTTATGTTTACATAGAACGTATAAAGTATTTTACGATTTTAATACTTTTTTGCTGTTTTTCTTAATTTAAGGTATGTTTTTGTCTTTAAATTTGATTTTATAGGTATTTTTTTATTGAATTTAAAAGCATTTTTAATTTCTAAATACTTAATTTTAACAGTTTTCTTTTAAAATATTTACTATTACCTATTTAATTACCATTTCCTGTTAATTATGAATTATTACACTGTTTTACAAGGAAAAATAGAAACTTTATTTTAAATTTTTAGGGTGATTTTGGTGCGCTAAACACAAAAAACTTAATCATTTTTTTCTTATTTGGGCCATTCACCTAGATGACGGTATATTTTTGTTTTTTAATCTAAGATTTTACTTAAATCAGCATCGAGAGGTATGGCAAATCCGATATATGCCATACCCTCCGATATATGGTTTGAAAGGTGGTTAAATTTCGCATCCAACGGTAAAAACATTGTTGTAATCGAATCAAAAATAGCTGAGTTACAGCTCACAAAAGTTTAAATTTCTTGCAAAATGGCTCCAAATCGATCCATGCAATATATAAAAATATAACAATATGTCAGTTTTAAAAGCCAATATTTTCTTAACCATTTGAGATAAAAAAAATGTTTTAAATATTTTTTTTCTTTTTTATGGTTATTTTAAGAGATAATATAATTTTTTTTTGATAGGACCACTAATTACGAAATTATGCGACATTTTATAAACGCGCATACCTGAAATTGACACATTTTTAAACAATACACCCGATAATACACTACTGCCTTGTGTATAAAAAACTGATTTCAGATAGTTTCATCTTCCCTTCACAAAATATCCCACGGGATACACTATGCTCCAAAACTAATAATAAAATATGCCAAAAAATATAAATTAATGCAGGAAAATCAACACGGATTCCGAGCTGGTCGATCGATACAGAGAGCAGCCTACCAGTTGACATAATTTCTATGCAGCTCTTTAGACTCTAATAGTATTAGACTAATACTCTGGTCGCTGGGGTCTTTTTTGATCTTTCTAAGGCATTTGACTCCATAGATCGAAATTTTTTGGAAAATAGAATGTATGCCCTTGGATTCAGAGGTAATATGCTTAAATGGCCTAAATCCTATATAACAAATAGAAAAAATTGTGTTCGCCTTAAAAATAACCATTTAAACTTCTTTAAGTTAAACAGAGGGGTTCCTCAGGGATCCGTGCTGTGACCTTTACTGTTTAATCTTTACATTAATGATCTTAATAAGTTTTTTCAAAAGATCGTTAAATTAAACCACTGCTTATTACTATAGTTAACTACGCTGACCACACAACAATTTCAGTCACAGCGCGGACCCCTGAGAAACTAAATACAAATATAAAACTAGTAATAAGTATCTCCGGATTTTGTATCTTTTTTTGGTTTATCTTTGTTGGTTTTTAGTAATGTATTCAGGCACCTTGTGCCTAAAATAAATTCTTGTCTAAAATGGCTTTTATCAAACTTTATACATAATATACGAGGTGTGTTCAGAAAATAACGGGAAGGTTGTCATACATTTTTCTTTATTATGTTGGTATACATGCCCCCGAAGTATGATAAAAACTTTAGCTGTTTTCATTGTTAGCCGCTAAGGTTAGAAGTGTTTTATGAACTCGGCGATTTTTCGTTCGTTAAAAGAAATCAAATAATTTGTATCCAATTTTGCTTAAAAAATGAAATAAATTCTGTGAAATGTTAACAAAGCCCTATAGTGAGTCTGCTATAAGTTAAACAAAAGTTTACAAGTGGTATAAGAGTTTCCAAGATGGCCGTGAAAACGTTGAAGATGACGAACGCCCAAGCTCATTAACAACCGATAAAAACATGGAAAAAGTGGAAGAAATGGTTGAAAACCATCAGAGAAGTCGCTGATGATGATGGTATTTCGATTGGCTCATTCCATGAAATTTTTTCGAATGTTTTGGGTATGAAACGCGTGGCAGCAAAATTTGTTCTAAAATTGTTAAATTTTGAACGAAATTTTTGGCCAAAAACAACACTATAATGATGCCCCAGCCTCCATATTCACCAGACATGCCTCTGTCTGACTTTTTCACATTCCCAAAAATAAAGAGAACCTTAAAGGGTCGTCGTTTTGCAAGCATAGATGACATTAAAAGCGCATCGCTGAAAGAACTAAAGGCTATCTCAAAGATCGTGTTTCGAGTATTGGAAGAAGCCTTGCATAATATCCAATGGGGACTATTTTGAAGGCGATAACATTAATGTAGACGAATAAATAAATATTTGTTTCAAAAAACGAAAATTCCGGATATTTTCTGAACACACCTCGTACTATTATATCTTAACTACAAAAATCTTTCTTATATTTCATATATTTTTTTTTCGATATCTCTTATTTTTCGACAACTATACTATTTCTATTTTAGCAAAGCAGACATATGTAAAATTGATAGTAAATAATTTTAAAGATTTTATTGTTCTTTAATTTTTATAGCGAATCAATAAAAATGATACTACTAATAATTCAATAGACTGACGCAGTTTATAAACGTTTGTTCAATTTTTAGATATCATAAAATAATCATTGTATACAATAATTATTTTATTTTATATATGTATATACAAGATCATACATATGTATAATATATGATACAGTATACAGTATAGGATAAAATCAAAGAAAGAGATAAAAAGTACCATTACCATTTTTTATAAATATAAAATCAACAAGTTTATAAAAATGTAATTTATGAAGGGTATATAAATTTTATGATTAAATATATTTAGAAATAGATAAAAAAATATAACATAAATTTAAATTGTAAATCAATACAAAACTGCAAGATGCAACTTTTGTAATTAACTGATCAACACCCATATTAAAGTTGTATATTAAAAAGATACCTTTAATGTAATTGTAAAATTGTGGTGATAAAAAGTCGACACAAAATGATATCATCAAGAAACACGTGTAGGTGTAAAACCAATGTTTATTAAATAATCAAAACAAAGCCTGTAGGCTGTAATTTATTAAATTTGGTGTTGAACTTATGCCATCTAAATATAAAGTTTATATCACGAAATTGTCTATAAAATTCTCAAGTAATTTGCATGTTAAACCAGTTAAGGCAAAATTTAGTAAATGCTAAAAATAGTTTATTTAAAAATAAATTTATTTGTATAAAAATAAATTATAAAATGTGGGTGTTTATTTGTTTTGAGTTACAAGTCCAGCAGGTCCTTTTGAAATACCCCCCTGTCCATTAGCTCTGAATCTTAATGGTTCAAAACCAAGTTCTTCAATAGGTATACCATATGCAAGTAGTTTTTCTTCATAAGAGGATATAACATCATCATGTGCTTTGCTCAGTCTAGCTAATTCGTATTCTAAATCACTTATCAGAGCATTCTTAGATGCCAGAATTTGCTGAAATCAGGCATTTTTTTAGTTTGACTATATTTTTTTCAAAATATATAAAAAAAAATATTATCTCAGTGTAGCCTTTTTCTGTATAAATAGTTAATGGATTATGACAGTTTATTCTTATAGCATATATGCAGATGATATAGGGTTTCATAGATGCTTGCAGTTGGTGTGTGGTTACTTACCTGCAGTTTTTTATTTTCGGGCATCTTTTTGGCAGCCACTGCTAAATCTCCAAGTACAACTTCCCTTTGCTCTGAAAGATCTGTTAAGGTGTTAATTCGTTTTTGCAGCAGGATATTTTTCATCCCTGTCTTTTGTTGAACTTCCAAAATTGCTTTTACAAAACGATCTTGCAACTCGTTTTTCTCAGTTTCCAACTAAAAACAGTGAACATGTTATTATTACAGCTAAACTCAACGTGTCGATGATTATTACTTTTCCAAATCGAAGTTCCAATGCATCGTTCGCCCATATTAGGTCTGAAAGCTCTTTTTTTGTTTGAGCTAATTTTGCTTTTGTGTTCTAAAACATTGTTTTAGCGTAACATAATTTTAATAATTTTAGTCACGGTATAAAGTTAGGTTTAAATTAGTTGTTACTTGTTATTATCATTTAATCTATTTGTCGTCAAAATAAAGTGCCTATCTTGTAAAAAATGTATTTTTGTGTTCGTTTTGGAAAGAGTATAGGTAGTACATAGGTCCTATGTAGGTAATTTATTTTATCTACGCCAGTGAGATAAGAACTTCTTATCCCACTCATTTTGAGTGAGATAAGAAGTTCATTAACGCACGCGTTTTTCTCTGCTTTTAACCAATCAAATAAAAAAGTCAAAATGTCAAAATGTCAAAATGTCAAAATAACCCTAAGTTAAGTCTTAGACAAAAATAATTACCGTTTATTTTTTCATTTAGACGCGTAGATAAAAATTTGTACAATATACGTGTGATAACGCTTTATTAACGTAATTTCGCATGCGTACGTTAATAAAGCTCTTATCCCACTTATATCGTAAATAACTATTATCTACTCCTACATTGACAAGCTGTGACTTTATGGCGTTTTAGTTACGGGTTTGCTTTATTATAAATTGCAAAAAATGTCAAATATGTATGAATTAAAATGGGCTTTAAATTCTTATTTCTGTTTGTCGTAAATAAAATATAGTATGCAATGCAATGTATGTTTTATAAACTTTTTTAGTCACTCGTTTTTATTAAAGCTCTCAAGCTTTGCTCTTGTTTAATAAATCTCGTAATTTAAATGGCGTTTGTACAACTTGATACATTATTTACTATTATAAACTTCTCTAGAAACATATTTATTAAACACCAGCTTTGCGAGCTTCGCTCGTGCTTAAAATGCCGCTTATAAAATTTGTTGCATAATATACTATACTATAATTTAATTTGTTAATTTAAAGATTCATTATCTATTTATATTTAATAATTTAAAATTTTATACTATCATAATTTAAATTGCATGTATTATTAAATTTTATACGTAGTTATAGTATAGTAGGTCATCCATATATTACGTCTGCATGCAAAAGGGATTTTGCCATTGCTGACTATTGACACAAGGGGAGGGGGGCAAGTTCCTATGATGACGTCATCATTTTTCTGTTATGTAAAAAACATGAAAAAATAATTATGTATACAAATGGCAAAAAACAGGGGAGGGATCTGCGTGATAATAATATAATAATAATAATAATAATACTTTATTGATGTTAAAAACACAAACATAGGGTATCCACAGCGGAAAAAAACGTGATGACGTAATATATGGAAGACTTCTACACAGATATTTTTTTATTCAATTAAGTAATTTACCCTAAACAAGATATTTCCAAATCTCTGGAGAGCAGTCAGCTGAAATTTCGATGTACAGTAAATTTTTAAAATTCAGAACAAGTACATCCAAATCTTGTTAAAAGATTAATTACCACATTAATATTGTTCTTTGTTAAAATAATAAAATGTATCAAATTTTTGTTTATCAACGCAAACCAAGAAGTAGCTAGTATTAAACAAACATTTTTTGAGAATGACCATTAAATACTTTATATTTAAATCCTCCTTTTATATGCGACTTGAGGATTTAAATGTTTATTATAATTTTTTTTACATATTTTTTAATTTTAAAAATTTTGGAATATAATATTAATGTATAAGTAATTGAGGCGTGGAAGTAGGGTTGCCACCTTTTAAGCTTGGGGTTGGAGGACAAGAAAAAAGCCCGCCGCGAACATTAAACTATAATAACTATTATACCTACCTAATATTAAATAAATACATTTTTATAACAAAAACAAAACAGCATTCCAGTCAGATAAAAATAACATAGTAATTATATATATATATTATAATATGTGAGTTAAATCCTAAATCTATTTTTTTTGGCGCCGATTCTCTAAACATTACCTATACTGTATAGGCTATACATTATACATTACTTTAAATTAAAAATAACCTTTTATAATTTACGCTGTTGCTAGTGCACCGCGTGCGGTGTACTATTCTGCACCGCCAAATTATATATTACGTCATAAACCCAAACCAACCCAAACTCAACAACACAACCCAACCGACCCCGCCCCATTGAGCAAAAAACCCAACTAAAATGGGCAAATTTGCGATAAAAATAAAACACTTTAACAAAGGAACAACAAATTTATGAAATAAAAAAAGTTCGACAACTTCTGGTAGATTTTATGTTACTTACGATAAAACTAAAACAAATTAACCAACCCAACCCAACCGAACACTGTTTAACAAAGAAACAAATTTATGAAATAAAAAAATAAAAAAAGTTTTTAGAATCGAACCCGGGACCTCTCGCATGCCAAGCGCACGCCCTACCATCGGAGCCATCTAGCTTGTTGTCAAATATTAAACGCTCGGAGAACAAAAACGGATTATAATTATGACGTAATTGGCGGTGTAGAGTAGTACACCGCGCGCGGTGTACTAGCAACAGCGTATAATTTAAGCATTACAATTTATCTTAGAACAATTTATAAATGTATAAAACACCGAATCTGCGGATTCAATGCAATTATAACACATTTTAAAAACGACAGATACCGGCCAACATCATTTTTTATCAAGATACATACAACTTATTTTTTATTTTTTGTAAACCTGTTGTTTTATTGGTTTATCGAGAAAAATATTTTTGACAGAGCACAATAAAATACATAGAAAGAAGGACCTATTTCATTTAAAGGAGGACGAAGGACATGATCTTATCAAAAGAGGACTGTCCTCCACAAAGGAGGACGGGTGGCAACCCTACGTGGAAGTACCAAAGGGGTATGTGTCATTTTTAGTTAAAAACATAAGTAACAGTAAGGGTAAATACTATGTTTTTTCACACAAAAATCTCAAAAAAAAATGGCATATGCGCAAATTTTCGTTAAATGTACATTTGCTGTCCCCAGCTAATTTTATTTTAATTTTTGCCTTTGTTGGTAAGTTTTGTATTTATTATATTTAAATACCCCCTTCCTGTTAGAACCCATCCTATTTTTTTATTATTACTTTGTGTTTCTATATATGGCAAAAAAACTAGGTGAAATGTCCTGTAACCTAACTTGTCCCCAGAGGCGATTTTTTAATTTAAATTATTATATTCTTCTTCTTTGCAGCTTTCTTCTGAAAAAAATAATTATTTTTGAACAATGGAAAGTTCTTTTATTCGTATATAAAACTTAAATAGTTTTCTACAAAGTAGTTTAAACAAAAAAAAATTGTAATGATACACATTACGACATATAGATGATTTTCCTAACTACCCGACGTCAAGGAAAGAGTTGGACTACCAGAAACCTGCAGTTAGACGGAACTCTAACAGATGGCGCTTGGACAACTGTCAACCGCATATATGTTGTCAACACTTGTTGCACACGGCCCGTGTGAAGGATTTATTTCACACGGCCCCAATTGTTTTTCATCAAGCCTGTCATCAGAATTCCGTCTATAAAACCGCTGCATTTTTCAATGGACAATCAGTCGTCTGGTGGCTCAACCAGTGTTGCCAGATTGGGCGATTTATCACAAATTGGGCGATATTTAACAGTTAAATATCGCCCAATTTGTGATAAATCGCTCTGGCGACCATAAATTTACAAAAATCACAAGTCGCCATTTGGGCGATTTTCGGCGCTAGAATCTAGGTGACCAACTGTTCTGATTTAATCAGAACTATACTGTTTTTGAGGTCTTCATTCTGACAGGAAATCGAAGGTAGTAAAGGTTCTGATTTTCCTATTTTGGTTCTGGTCTGTTCTAATTTAGCTTACCATATAAAATAAACTTCCAATTTTGATAAATACATATTAATTTATTAGGTATACCTATAATAACTAAAAATAACTAGGCTAAAAACACAAATTTCTTAATAGTTAATTTATAAATATATATATGGGGAATTCCACACCAAATTGACCACTTTTGACCCAACCCCTTTCGAATTGACTGAAAAGTTAACTTTTTAAATTGTTTTCTACCCCACTAAAAAAGTTTCTCAGAATTTCTCCAATATTTTTACCCAACCAAAAAATTGCCAATTTTCTTTTAAAATACACGTAACTTTGTCAAAATTTAGGAGTTATTAGGAGAAGGACAATGTTTCATTTCTTCCTTGTGTTCCTTCCTTATTTCAGATTAACCCTATAAGTTTTATTTCTTTAAAATTTATTTTTGTTATTTATAAACTTATAGAATTTTTTTGCAGTCTATTACACTGTTATATCATAAAGGAAAAAAAACGATCAAATTGACCTGCCTGGACAAAATTTATATACAAAATGTACATTTAACGAAAATTCGCCCATATACCTCCTTTGGTACTTCCATTACCATGTTTCGTTAGAAACAGTAAGGGTACATACTATGTTCAGTACCTTTGGTACTCCACGCCTTAATTATGGAATTAGGGCATACACAGGTTGTTCCAAAATTGGCGACATTCCAAAAGGAATTAACCTTTACCATTTTTTCGAATTTAAAAAATTGTAGGAATTATTTAACTTTTAAAGCCGCCAATGAGAGCGCGGTATTTATGGATCTATCAGACGGAATGTAGGTAGGCAAGATTAAAAATCTTGTACTTTTAAGAGGAATTTACCTTTGGGTCGCCAATTTTTGGTACATTGTATTTATTTATTTATGCTTCAAAAAATACAAATTTTTGCACAAGGTCCCTTATAATTAACTTAAATGTATTTACATACATTTATTTAAAACATAAGAACATTGCAGATAAATTGTTCAATAGTAAACTCAAACAAGCATCACAGAAGCCATCAGATGGCTTGTAGGTGATTTCAGCTTTTTAATAATGTGTGGTTATAAGTTATTTAATTGTAAGGAAAATTTAAAAGTTAAACAATAAATAATGCAAATATTTAGAAAAGGATTTCAATTAAGTCATTATTTTCAATAATCCATTTTTTAATTAATAGAGACATACTTACAAGCAAAGAAATTTTATCCTTTTCATAATTCTGTAATTGTCTCTTGTATTCAGCAGCATCTTTGAGGGCCTTTTCCAGTGGTTCTTGTAGAGCTTTGTTTTGAGCGGTAAGGTCAGAAACTTGTCTGGACAATCTTTGGTTTTGACTTCTTAAGGTATCCATTTGATCCTTAGAATTAAAAGTTAAAAAAATATAGATTAAATAAAACCTAATTTACCTTCAAAGCGCTTATTAATGCCAAATTGTTTAGGGTAATATCGTTGTAATAGTTTTTCATTTCACTGAAAACATTGTCGTGATGTTTTGTGAGCTCGGTTATTTGCGTATTTTTTCTCTCCTCAATTTCAGCTATCTCCATGCTAAAATATAATTGTTAAAATATGTGTTCGTCGTCATATTAAAAGTTTTACTTATGTTTAGTATTTAGTTCGGTTTTTAATTCATTAAATTTTCTCTCGTATTTATTTTCAAGAACTTTGGCTTTTTCCTCAAATTCTGTTCTTGCTTGACTAACATTCTCACTGAATTCCTAAAAAAACACCCTGGGTACCAACAAAAATATATAAAATATAAATATTACCAATTTAAGAGCCTTTATTTGATCCTGATGTGCAAAATCTTTGTCTCTTCCAAGTTGCTTTAAATCCTTTTTATCCTTTAAAAGCTCGCGTTCTTCTTCGTTATGCGCATCCTCGGCATTTTTCAATGCAACCAAAGCCTCAGCTTCAGCTTCAGTCAAATCGTTTTGATGCTCATATTGTAAATGTTTTACTTTTTGACGGTAAAATTTTAACTCTGCTTCGTTTTTTTCTGCTGCTTCCTCAATTTGACGGTCTTTGTTACTAAAAGATTACTTTTATTATAAAAAAAATAAAAAGTATGTATGTGGTACAAAACGTTATTTACTGATTCCAGCAGAAAAAAGGACTTAAATGGTTTTAAAAAGACGTACATTAAACTATGCAACTTTTAACTTTAGTGTATAAATATAATTAATAAAAAAATTAATACCAAATCTGAAAGACTTTTAATTTGTACCTACTACAAAAATAGTAGTATTACAATGTCCTATTACCGTAATTTAGCTCTGTGTTCTTCAAGTTCATTTTTTGTTATTTCCCAGAATGTTCGGATTTTATCCCGTTCCATTTGGAAAAAATTACGTTCTTCCCTTTCGCGATCATTTTCCTCTTTTATTCTCAAACAAAATACTTCCAATTGTTCTCTGGTCATAGACGTTGTATCCACCCCATCTATGACAACCCCTTAAAAAACAATTTTACAATAGACCTATCCCATAAAACAGACTTTTGTATAGCGCGTGCCTGAAGAAGAGTGGTATCTCTTTCTCTTTTATATAATTAAAAAAAGACGACGTGCCTTTTCACGCACGCGCTATCCAAAAGTCCGTTTTATGGGATAGATCTATTAAAGGTCCTGCTGTTAAAAGGATGTATCTGTCATTATTCACAATTTTTTTAGAAATATATAAATACTAAATAATTAGGGTACTAACTAAGAATCATAGAATAATTGCAGTACATCACGGCGTTCTCTATACCTATAGGTTCTCTATATATAGAGAACGCCGTGAGTACATGCATGTGTATTAATTGATATTAATATTGTATTTTGGGCCTATACCCTACAACCCTATATATAGTTTCCATAAATATTTTAAATAGAAAAATTATACTGAAAATATAGTTTAAATATATGAAGATTTAAATAAATCATTTATTACTAAACTTGCATTCGGTATTTAATTATGTAATATTTATTAATTATAATTTAAGACGGTGCAAGAACAATGCAGGTTTTATTTTATTAAAATAAATACCTACTGAACAATTTTTAAAAAAGTCCAAAACAGTATGGAATAAACATTATATTTAAACCCTGTACATATGAAAACCAGACGTCGTTTTCAGCAATTTGATCTGAAAGATTTAACGAAAGGATTTAAAGCCCAATGATAATGGTTGTCGGCAAGATTTTGCTGCTTAAGCGATCTAATATTTGGCTGAAGATTTTACTGTAATGTTCAACAATGATGCTCATTTTTTGTTCAAGGGCTATGTTATTAAGCAAAACTGCAGAATTTGAAGCAAGAAGAGTCCTCGTGTATATGAAACGCCGCTGTATCCGAAAAAAGTTACAGTGTGGTGTGCCATCCATAAGTGGTATCATTGAATCTTATTTCACATATTGAACTATTATTCTTACCAATCGTATTGAAAACCAACTGGGGACATTCTGCTTTCAACACCGTTATTGAAGAGCAGTTTGTTGACATTTTAGCTTAATTTTTGTACGAAGATTTATAATAATTTGACTTTTAAACTAGTATTTATAAGAACTATTTCTATATAGAGTCATATTTATAATAGTATACATATTACCATGCAGGCCATTATTCACGAGGATGAGGTTTGTGTTTCGAGCCGCCAGGCGAGAGACGTATCATTCGAATGATAATATCTCGTATGTAATACTACGCTTTTCCTACTCCAATTCAATAATTTTCATTAATAACAAAATTTACCATAGCCTTACTTTCTCCCGCTTTTAATGATCATTATAGTCGCCCCTCGTATATATAAAAAAATCAGACATCTGTTTAAAGTTCAATTTTCTCCATTGTAAAACCCTATTGGTTTAAATTATGAATATTGATATCAGCCAATCACTGATTCCTAAAGGCATGTTATAACAACGTATACCGTGAGTATCTGAGAATAGGCGCACCCCTGTAACTTTTTTATGTATTAAGATAGACACATGAAATTTAGCACGGTTAATTAAGATATAAAAGGCCACTTATAAGAGTACAAAATGAATTTTTTGAACTTCCGGTTTCGCCGGAAATGATACTAACTTTCGATTTTTAAATGGAATGCCCTATATATTTTTACATATTTGGAATCCTGAGGAAATTCTGAGTCAGACAGCATCCTCAAATTGACCTTTTGACGTTTTGTCATCAGAAAATGTATCAACATAAAGATCAATCTAGAGTGCTTTGAACTATCTTATTTTCTTCTAATGGATTCGCACAATGCCTGAAAAATGCAACTTGCCTTAGAAAGTTGTTATTCAGCTATTCCCAGCTGTCTAAACTTGTCAAAATTCGTTTTTCTCAAATAGTTCAAAGAACTCTAGATTGATATTTATGATGATGCATTTTTTGATGACGAAACGTCGAAAGGTCAATTTGAGGATGCTGTCCGACTCTAAATATGTAAAAATATATAGGGCTTTCAATTTATAAATCGAAAGTTGATATCATTTCCGGCGAAACCGGAAGTTCAAAAAAACCATGTTGTACTCTTATAAGTGACATTTTATATCCTAATTAACCATGCTAAATTTCATGTATTTTTGTATGTATGTGTCTTTTTTCATAAATAAAAAAGTTATTCTCAGATACACCCGGTATAATGTGTTTAATATTCTCGTTGTTAGGCGGGCGACGATATTAAAAATTGCCTAATTGTACCCTATTTAATTAATTAGCATTATTGGGTTTATTCTATTAGATGTACAAATAAATTTTCAATAAATTTTGACATTGGCAATGTTTTGGACAAATAAATTGTGTTAATTATCTAGTAATTAAAAGCCAAACTTAAAAATTAATCGTGGTAACAAAACCTACGCCATTTGGTATTTGGAAACAATGTTAAAAATAATTGAAAGACAAAAAAATATTTAAACGAACAATTATCATGTGATTTTAACTACAAAATATTAACCAAGATAATTATTATTGTGTTTTTTAAATAAGTATACAAATATTATTACTTACCCCCTCCTTTTTTGGCTTTGGGAGGCTGAAAACACTCGTTAATATAAATATTTAAGGTTTATTATTATATATTTAACTTACCATCTTTCTTATCTTTAGTTAGGTTAAAAATACACAAAATATACTGACAGTCTTTGACTTAAAGAATAATTTCCATGGCTACCGAATATCAATAATATTACCACATGTTTCATGTATTTTACAAAGTTTGATCCATAGGGAAAGACAGGTAGTTGCCCAAAAATGTTTTTAAGTTTTCCAGTTTTTTCTATGTCAATAAAATGGCATAATTGTGTAAGTGGTTTAAAAAATCATATACAAAGCCAAAAGCAAAAACTGGACGATTATAAAAAAATTGTAGAAACAAGTTTTTAAAAACTAATTCCTCAAAACGCTGGGTGTTTCATTTAAAAATAGTTTTGAAAAATCAAGATCGTGATATTTTTCGTTATTTACTTTTAAACATAGACATGATGTCTATGAACTATTGCTTTCTGGGTTGCATACCTTTAAATAGGCTTAGTCAAAGATAATAATCTTTGGGCTTAGTTCTCTAATATTTTTTCACGCAATATTTGTATATTATGGGTATCTACTTTTGTTAATTTGATTAACACTTGTATTTTTGTGTACCTTTGTAATAAAAATACATGTGTAAATTAACACAGTTGATTTTAAGTAAACTTCGTAATAGGAAATAAAAATACAGGGGTTTCTTATGTATACAAAATAAAACAAAATCTTGTCTTTTAAGTTTTTTAAATTAAATTTTATTTTAATGTCTTAACGACGATTTAAAAATAAAATAATTACATATAATATCAAAAGTTTTAATTTTATTTAAATAGTACCTACCTATAATATTAATATTAATAATTTAATTCCATTAGCCACAGGTTAACAATTATTGTTAACCTGTGCCTAATGAAATGAAAATGCTTAATAACTTTTTATTTATTAATTGCATTTTGATTTTCAGACAAAATTTAAATTTAATTTTTTTAAAGCCAAAGACAAAAAAGATCATTAATTTAAATATTATTTAAAATATAAAACCTGTGGTTTTTAATGTTTACGTAATAAATAAACTTAAAAGTTAACCACAAAAATTTCGTCAAATCATAATTAATTTTAATATCTAATAAAATATTTATAAAAGTAGCAACCTTCAATTTTTTTTTGTTTTAAGAATTTAATAAATATTTAGCAACAATAGACCAATTTTAAATTTAGGTTTGCAATTTAATGGCGGGTTTACCATTTTACCTTCATTTAATTTGCCATATTAATATAATTTAATTCCAAAACCTAATAATATATTTTTTTACCAGTTTATTAGTCATTGAGGTAAAATTCAAATGTTGTTACGGCTTTTTAACGCTATAATAAATAAATAATTTTTGTCCTGGTTATAAATATAATTAATTAATATTTATATTTTAATTACATTTCGCCAACAAGGGATACATTAAGGCTGGAATCATCATAGTACTACTATGTATAAATTTTATAGTCTCATAATTTATTAATATTTAATATTAGATAAATAGAAATAGTTCTTTAATATTTACTCACTACACTTGAACTAAATTATGTGTACATAAATTATAATTAAAGTAGTTAATTAAATAAAAGTCAATATTTGTTGATAAATCTTATTATCCTAATATCATTTCTTGGCAAATAAAATAATATCACCCATAAAAAGCATAAAAAAGTTCTGTAATAAATACTAGATGGGCGAGTATAAAAAATGATCGAGATATTTTGATTATGACCCAATAATTATTGGGATTATATATAATCAATCATTAGATCATTATAACCGAGAGGTCATTCACTTTAATTGATTATGATTGTAAATAAAAATAATACAGGAACTCTTCTCTCACAAGAAAATATGTGTTCCGTCCAAATAATCGTTAACCAGTGTTGTTCTCGGTACTAAATTGATTGTATCAGATTTCTCAGGAAAATGTATTAGATTCCCAGAAAACTGTAGTGCCATTCCACGCCAAACACAATAATGAAAAAAGTTCACAAAACCGTCTTTGATTTTTTCAAATTTTGTTTAGATTATTTATAAGATAGGATAACCACAAATCTTAATTTTGACGGTTCTACGATAAATTAATTATTTTAATATTTTAATTTCTTAAATAACTCCTTAACCTGTACAAATTATTTAAGTGAATTTTTTTTTCTAAGTCATTTTTAAGCTGATTTTAAAAAGGTAATCAGAATTTGAGTATCTCCTATTCGATAAAGAAGCTCAATACCATTATTAAAATACAAGGTTTGTCAAGAACACATTTAAAGCATACGAATTGCACATCAGTTTTAAATAAAAAAAGTATTTTTTTCACAAAAGAGAGGAAGTCGCAAAGTTTCAATTGCACAGCTAAATCGCAAACGTTATTTGTGTGTTTTTTGATCTAAGTGATCATGATGAATTATTGTTTTTAATTGTAAATGTAATTCAGGAACTAAATCGTTGCATTTTCATATTTTGCCAAAGAATCCAATTCGGTTCGTATATTTGTTGTTGCAGAATTTACTAATGACAACTTTACCAAATATTATTTATATTTAAGTTTCACATTTTTAAAAAAACTAACAAAAAATAATAGTTGTACAAACATAACCTTAAAATCAAACATTTTTTTATTTGAGTCCTCCAAAAAAATGCAAACAACTTTATTTTAAAATAGTAAATGACAAAATATATCTACGAATTCAGGGCAACATAATATTATATATAATACATAATAAAATACCCGTTTTTGTTTTTTACCGTCAACGCTTTTAATAATGCATAACGCTCTTGAATTTAGACGACTTATTTGTTTTATGCTTTTTACTGAATTGCAATGTTTACAATTTTCACTTAAATCATTACTAAAATGTGTATCCATTGCACCTAATAGGTACAATTTATTTACAGGGACTATATGCAATTTATTTCCCATTTGGATTTCGACTGTTTATTGGAAAACCGGTAAAAACTCAACCCAGGATTTCCTCTCGAATAACACCCAACAACACAACAAATCGTTCCACGTTTTTTTTCTCGATATTTTTAACATTTTTTCCGGCCCTATTCTCAAAAACACTTGTTTGTAACATACGCTTTTGACAGCTGATTATTAAAAGTTTTGTTACGATGATAACAGCCACGTGTTGGCGCTAATAGCGATGCCTCTTTAGCGTATCGTTTTTTCACGAGCATGGCATTTGGTAAAACAAAATCATGTCGACTTAATGACAAGTTTGATCAGGACCTTATATTTTAAATTTTTATAAGTAGTAAAGATGGAACCACTAACGGAAAAAATTTCATCTTGGCTTTCCGCCTAGGAGCTGACTAAAAACTTCTTGAACTTACATGTGACTAAAAACTGTGACACATGTCAAAATTATTATTTAGGTGCAGGTGCAGTGGCGGCTAGCCGCCAAAATCCACCAGCCGCGGCTGGTGGATTTTTGGTATACCGATATCTCAGTTATTAAATATGGGACCCACACCAAATTTTTATGAGTTTATAATGACTAGGGTGTTCCAAAAAAAGTCGATAATTTTTTTTTTCGATTGCACGTGAAATTATTGTTATATATGCTATAAAAAAAAAAATTCTGTAAAAATTTAAGCCCTTAATATCAACTTGAAGAACTCCATCATCGAATTTTAAGATTTTTTATTGATTTAACATGGAAAAATGATTTTTTAACCTTCATTTCTCCTGCAAACTTTGTAGAACATTATTTTTCGGATAAACCATCACTGATCCTTCTTCAGCATTAAATTCTGTAAAAAAAGTTCTTAGGGTCCAGTCTCTAACGTCAACGTTGCAACCCTCTCGTTTTTATTTGCGTTGAAAAATATAGATTTTTTGAAATTTCGATTTTTTCCATTTAATGTGTAAAATTTTGATCTCAGACCATAAAGTTTGAGAAAATTTTAGTAGATCGTTCTATGTTTCACAAATCTGTGCCAAGAAAATTTTTTGTATCACTTTTGGCTCCAAAATCGACTTTTTTTGGAACACCCTAATAATGACATTAAATAAACAAGTTCTGCCCAAGCCGAATTTAAATTGAAGTTTGCAAAAAAAAGATAACTTTTTGCTCGGCCGTACCGGCCCCAATAAATATAATATAAAGTTAATAGGTGCAATTTTTATTTACCATAGTTTATCGATAAATTTCAAATTTCATTTAAAAAATCCAAATTATAGAGATTTGACACCATTTTAAATTTTTAATATTTCCTTTCAAAGAAATAATAAAACTTTAAAATGATATAAAATCTGTATGATTCGGATTTTTTAAATGAAATTTTACTACATATGGTAAATGATAAATTGCACCAATTAAATTTATATTATATTTATTGGGGGTCCCATTGAGCCGGTACTGCCGAGCAAAAAGCTGCCTTTTTTTGCAAACTTCAATTTAAATTCTGCTTGCGCAGAACTTGTTTATTTAATGTCATTATAAACTCATATATATTTTGTGTGGGTCCCATATCTACTAATTGAGATAATGGTATACCCAAAATCCACCAGCCACCACTGTTCAGGTGACAGATGTTAAAACGACAGGCAACAAGTGTCAAAAATAAGCTATAAAAGATGTAAAAATAAAACGAAAATACAAAACAAAATAAGCTGACATAGATCTGTTATCTGTCTTTTACAGTTTATTTACAATTTATGTAGCATTCGTAGATAATAGTTATTTTTGATATAGTGTAAGAACAAAATTAAAACACTTTTAACACTTACGCATAAATAACCATAATCCACTAAAGCTACGTAAATTGTCAATAATTACAGGAAACACTGTTTTCAAAACAGATATCAGATTATTTTGTTTTATATTTTACTTTCATATGGCATCTGCCTTAGATTATTTTTGACATCTGTGATCTGTTATTATAACATCTGTTACCTGTAGTTTATGAAAAACGACCAGTATTTGATCACCTAAAAGAGCCATTCCACGCGTAACGGATAGGACAGTTGCCGTGTTTTTATTTACAAAATAATATTGTTCTACTATATTACCAATGTCAAATTTTTATAAATAGTTCTAAACTAAAGCTGTTTAACAAGGTTTTTA